TCTTTTAAATAATTTTATTATTACTTTACATTTTTAAGTTTAAGTGTGTGAATACAAATTTATTTTCAGTTCTTCTTAGTTCGAAGATACTCCGAACTAACGGTACGATTTGATAGAAGTCTGTAAAAGACATGAATGAAGATATTTTGATTTGATTTGATTTATACAGAACTGGATAGACGGTAGATTTGAAGTATCAGAAGTCTGTAAAAGATATGAATGAAAATATTTTGATTTGATTTGATTTATACAGAACTAGATAGACGGTAGATTTGAAGTATCAGAAGTCTGTAATAGATATGAATGAAGATATTTTGATTTGATTTGATTTATACAGAACTAGATAGACGGTAGATTTGAAGTATCAGAAGTCTGTAATAGATATGAATGAAGATATTTTGATTTGATTTGATTTATACAGAACTGGATAGACGGTAGATTTGAAGTATCAGAGTAAAAATTAATGAAAATAGGTAGATGTTTGAACAGACGTCTTTTATTGCAGAGCACAGTGACAGAAGTATTATAAAATAAAAAGTATATAAAGAACATCATATTTTGAATATGGATAAAATAATATATAAAAACTGCCAGTGACTCTCAATGTAGGTCTATCAATCAGAAGTCTGTAATAGATATGAATGAAGATATTTTGATTTGATTTGATTTATACAGAACTAGATAGACGGTAGATTTGAAGTATCAGAAGTCTGTAATAGATATGTGTTGCGGACCACGAGTCGGCATCGAAAATATGTAAATAAATTTGTGTATAAATTTGTATTTTTCCAGTGTTTTGACTATTGTTTAGGTTAGACTATTGTTTGTACCATATACCCTTTGTAGCGGCATAGATACTGTGAATTCTATGTCCGCCCATTGTGTAAATTCTTAGGGATCACAGCTTTAGTGTAGCCTGAACATGTGGCATTTAGTCGCACGTGGTTTTTTGTAGTTTTTTGTGTTGTTACTATTGTATTTAATTTTAAATGTGTCGTATTCGCTGTTCCGTCGGTCACCGACATGTGCAGGAATTGTCGGGAGGGTGGGACGGCCGACGCGCACGGCTCGGCGGGGATGGGGAAGGACGCGCTCGGGCGCCCGTAAAAGGCGGGTTGGTTCTCGATCGCGCTCTCTTACGCATACGCCACCGACGAAGAACCACCGCCGGCGCAACGACCAAGAAAACCCCACTCCGGCCGGCCGACCCATAGAATAAGAAACAAATTGAAATACAGTCCACATATTTTGAAAATCGAAGATCTTTTAATTGTGTACCCCACAATTTTGTGGTCCATCGCAGCCGCATATCAAGACCGAAGATCACCCAACGGTGCGACGAATCGCCGTGGAAGATCACCCAACGGTGCGACGAATCGCCGTGGAAGATCACCCAACGGTGCGACGAATCGCCGCGGAAGATCACCCAACAAGATCACCCAACGGTGCGACGCTAGCAGCTTGAATTTAGCTGCCGTCGTAAGGTGAAAACTTGAGGGTGCAGCGAGGATAGATAAATAACGTCTACGCCATATAGGATAGATAACGTCTAAGCGGTGTGTCCGCGGCTCCTATATATATTCGGAGTGTGGGTTAACGCCATTGAGAATCACAACCGAATAGCACTATTACGCCTGTACGTGTGTATCGTATAGCGGGGGCCGGACTGTAGGCACTGCCAAAGGGGTCCCGAACCGGCCCTGAGCGCCCCGTCTGTACATACGCACCACTGCGGGGTAATTCTCCTATCCCCATAGTCCATCCCCTCGGGTGTTATCCTGAGGGATTTGGGACGGTTATGGTAGGGATAAGAGTGCCAGAACACGATGCCGACTACGAGAAGCCAGCCCCGGGAGCAGAGAAAAAGACCACGCGGGAAAATGAACAAAGATATTCCGCCGCGCCGTTGCGCCACAGGCATTTTAATTTGAACGACAGATGTGAATCGCGCCGTCTACCGCTAGCGGTATAGCTAAATTAAAGAGGCAGTAAGGCAGCGCTACAGATGGCGAAATTACAGGCTATTTAATGTCGCCGCGGTATAAGAGACCGATAGAGATTATATGCCGGCCTGCAACGTATAACGGATTTTTCAACGTATCAAGAGAATAAAACGCAGAAAGAGCCAACAGAAAGGCAAGCTTAGGACGCCGAAGCAAAGACGGAGGTGTTGCAAGAAGGATTCACCCGGTTGGCCAAAGCTGAACGAGCTGTGGACGAACGAGCGGATAGGGTAGTCTCTCTTCAGAGATAATTATTATTAGACCAGTTACAAAGACGTACAGGATCACACCAGCGGAGAACCTTGCCAGGCTGAGGGCCTCTTAGTGGAAAAGCGAGAGAGACAGTCGCAGCGTTAATCACAGAACCGTCGCAGATCATGAGGACGTTGGAGCAGCGGTACGGCCGGACAAGGCCATCATCGACCGCGCTGATCTGAGAAGGATGCCGGTAATAGTAACATCGACAACAGAGGTGATTGACTTCGCCATTAAACTACAGAACATCACCACCATCGTCGCGGATATCGACAGGGGGGCGAGATTCTAATCCCGCGCTTTTTCAACAGGTCCATGGTGTCACTACGCTGAAAAAACAAGGAGGACACTAGACCTACGATCATCAAGATGGCAGAGTTTTTAATGAGCGAAGCCGATCTCATGACCCGACATCTGCGAAAAGCATCACCAACGAGACGAACGAGCGCGCTACCCACGAAGCAGCCCCCGAAGCAACCCACTAAACCCATACTGTCGAAACAGAACATCGCATACGCCGCCGTAGAAAAGAGCGAACAGATGTATTAAAACGCCGAAACGACATGTCGTTATCGGACAGATGGGAGTTGGCGAAAACAAATAAGATGTGCTTCCAATGAAACAGAAGGTTCAAGTCCACGCAAATTGTAGAGAGTGTTTAAGCCACACACGCCCTTGCCAGAAGAACGAAGCGGCAAGATCACCGCGATTACAGCGCACGCTTCAGAGAACAGCCAAGTAAAGGTGTGTCCTATCATCGTGAAAGGCAAGACGGGACGCGAAGTAGAGACGTACTTTTGAAGGCTGTAATATATAAGATCGCAGAACAGATCGGAGCCGAAGGTCCGACGCGATCTCTGAGAATATAGCTGGCATAAAATAAAAGAACACTTGAGGGCGCGTACGATCCGGGATCTCACCCTAGCGTTATTTGTCCGCGACAGGTGTGTGCTACGAAGATGCCAGAACTATCTAGACAACTGGCATCTGATTGTTACGCGGAAGCTGCTCACAGGAAGGCACAATCAACCCGCAGCGTCGCTATATATACCCAGAAGTGTCGAAGACGAGGAACATGTCCTCCACGACACAGCGCAACGCCGAGCCAGACATTGAGGGCATAATAAAAGCGCATTTTTTTTATCGTCGAAGAGATTACCCATCGCTAAGTCGACATTCAAGTGCACAGCGACGAGAGTGGATGGGCGATACGTCGTAGGATTGCCGTGGGAGAGAGATAACGTCGTATTAAAAAACTGAGGGGAATATGATTTGGAATTCATTAAACAAGTGCATTTACGCCGAGAAAGTAACCGACGACCGGTTCAACACGACCGCGCGTGGTACCTTCCCCATTTCGGAACTAATAAACCCGGAAAGCTGCTATTGCCGCGGCCCGTTCGAAAGGAATAACGATATTATGGGCCAGATATGTAACGGTGTGTTATATTAGCTATCACGGCGGACATACGAGAGATGTTCCTGCAGATTAAGATACGGGAAGAAGATAGAGCAGCACAACAGTTTCTGTGGCGAGGAGATGACAGGATTAACCCGCCGCAGAAATACGTAATGACCTTGATTTTCGGGGCGAGGAGCTCACCGTTCATCGCACACAGCGTTCGAGACAGGAACGCGGCAGAGCACCGAGAGTCGCAGTCAGCGTACACCGCCATAACAAGGAACCACTACATGGACGACTGGGTCGATAGCTTTGACAAGATAAACCCGCGCCATTCGAGAGGTAGTAGAGGTTCATGGCGGGATAGCACGCTGGCGGGTTGGAATACAAACCGACCGAGCCTGCTAGAGAATGTGCGTGAGGACCAGCGAGCGAGGACGCCGAAGGAACTGGGAGCCAACGCACATCCATACGGAAAGACATTTTATTGTGGATGTCAGCCGAAGACCAGCTGGCGTTCAACACCGGCATGCCACGCGTCCCACGAGAAGTGAAGCACGGCACGCGGATACCGACGAAAAGGGAAGCCTTAGGAGCGGTGATGTCATTGTTCGACCCGCTCGGGCTGCTGAGCAAAAATCATCTTGCAGGCGCTGTGGGTGCAGAAGGTCGAATGGGATGACTCTCTGCCCGCCGAGGAAGCGCGGATGTTCCAGGAATGGAGAGATGACTTAGCCTATATAGAGGAACTGAGATTGCCGCGATGGTATGGCACGAACGACAGCCAACGGTCGCAACTGCACGTATTCACGGACGCAAGCGAACAGGCATATGCCACAGCCGCGTATTGGAGGACGGAACGCGAGGATCGTAGCGTTAACGTCGTCCTGGTAGCAGCCACTAGCGCCCATGAAAGCGCAGTATATTTAGGCGAGCCTGATAGGAGGACTGGCCGCTGACATATTGAAAGAACATAGTCGCGAGGCCGAAGTCTTCCTATGGACGGACTCGAAAACGGTGCTACACTGGATAAGGAACGACACCGTCAGATATACTCCATACGTGGCTCATCGTTTGGCAGAAATCGCCGAACTGACGAAACCGACACAGTGGCGCTGGGTACCGACTGCCCACAACGTAGCCGACGACGCGACCCGCGCGGGATACACACAAATGACCGCTGCCGACAGATGGTTTGTCGGGCCGGCATTTCTGTACGCTCCGGAGCAAGAATGGCCTCATGAGAGCGAGCCCGTCCCAGCAGAGATGGTAGCACACGTCCGGGAGCAGAACCCGTGATCGACATTGCACGGTTCTCTTCAGACCGAGTGAGGAGGACCATGGCGCAAGTGCTACTGTTCGCAGATAAATGCAGGCGACGGGCACAGAAGCTAGGCACAGAGCATTTCGCCAAAGCGGAGCAACTAATAATACGGCAGGCGCAACAGGACAGTTTCCCGAAGGAAACGCGGTGTCTACGCGAAGGAAAGACCGTAGACAGGACAAGTCGTCTGTTCCGCCTGGATCCCGTTTACAAGGATGGCATAATACGCTTGAACGGACGTATAAACGCAGCACAGGTGCCGCTAGAAATGAAGAATCCACCCATACTGGACGGAGCGCACCCGTTGGCGCAGATGATGATTAAGAGAGAACACGAGCTACATCATCATGCCGGCAGAGAACAGACGGTGAACACCCTGCGCCAATACGTGTGGATGCTGCGTTTAAGGCCGACCGTCAAGACCGTATTACGCAAATGCACAACATGCGCCGTACGCCGGAGGAACCCCGACGTCCCAGTGAAAGGGAACTTGCCAAAGGAGCGACTCGACGCATACGCCCGGCCGTTTACAAGATGCGGTATGGATTGTTTCGGGCCTACGATAGGTCGCAGGCGAGAGAAGCGATGGGGGCTCCTATTCACGTGTATGGTCACCCGGGCCGTGCATATAGAACTCATAGCGGGGTTATCGACCGACTCTGCTATAATGGCGATACGACGCATGGCAGCGCGTCGCGGCTGGCCACGAACCTTTATGTCGGACAACGGAACGAACTTTCGCGGAGCCGACGTGGAGCTTACGACTGCGTTTAAGGAATGGCTCCCTGAACTGGAAAAGTACGTCAGCAACAAGAGGATAAACTGGCGGTACAGCGACCCGGGCGCACCGAACCAAGGAGGAGCGTGGGAGCGACTGATAAGGAGCGTGAAGAGAGCGCTAGCAGTGGTACTGCACGAGCGGGCGCCGAGAGAAGAGGTGCTCGCAACGCTAATGACGGAAGCAGAACACACCGTCAATTCACGCCCCTTAACCCACGTCTCAGTGCGACCCGAGGACGAAGAGGCGCTGACCCCCAACCATTTTCTGATGGGCTCAGCCGTCGGCCTACCGTACGTAGGTACCACCGACGTTGCCGACCGCAGAACGTGGCGCGCAGCACAGGCGCTCGCGGATAGATTCTGGCAGCGGTGGTTACGAGAATACCTACCGACGCTGACGCCCAGAGACGACGTACGACGGAGCACGGCAAACATCAAGCCGGGCGACATGGTTTTAATAGTGGACGGCCTGCTACCTCGCAATCTGTGGCCGCGCGGGCAAGTGGAGCGCACCTATGAGGGGCCCGACGGCGTGGTGCGAAGTGCGGACGTGAGGACGCGAGGGGGAATTTTTCGAAGGCCGACCCGAAGGCTAGTGGTCCTCCCTAGGGATAAGGGCTGCGAAGATCTGCGCCGGGGGGAGGCTGTTGCGGACCACGAGTCGGCATCGAAAATATGTAAATAAATTTGTGTATAAATTTGTATTTTTCCAGTGTTTTGACTATTGTTTAGGTTAGACTATTGTTTGTACCATATACCCTTTGTAGCGGCATAGATACTGTGAATTCTATGTCCGCCCATTGTGTAAATTCTTAGGGATCACAGCTTTAGTGTAGCCTGAACATGTGGCATTTAGTCGCACGTGGTTTTTTGTAGTTTTTTGTGTTGTTACTATTGTATTTAATTTTAAATGTGTGCGTATTCGCTGTTCCGGCCCGTCGGTCACCGACATGTGCAGGAATTGTCGGGAGGGTGGGACGGCCGACGCGCACGGCTCGGCGGGGGTGGGGAAGGACGCGCTCGGGCGCCCGTAAAAGGCGGGTTGGTTCTCGATCGCGCTCTCTTACGCATACGCCACCGACGAAGAACCACCGCCGGCGCAACGACCAAGAAAACCCCACTCCGGCCGGCCGACCCATAGAATAAGAAACAAATTGAAATACAGTCCACATATTTTGAAAATCGAAGATCTTTTAATTGTGTACCCCACAATATGAATGAAGATATTTTGATTTGATTTGATTTATACAGAACTAGATAGACGGTAGATTTGAAGTATCAGAAGTCTGTAATAGATATGAATGGAGATATTTTGATTTGAGTTGTAAAAATTCGTTTATACTGCACTTCTTGACAATCCAAGAGAGAGTACCAAACATCCATCCATTGACGGCTTTAGTGGTTTAGTGTTTTGCACACCATTTAACTTCAGATTGTGGCAGGTTCGATCCCTTGGATTACACAAACATTTGTATTCATGAGTAGATATGATTGTTTGTATCGGTCTGGGTGCTTCCTATATATATTTGGAATTAGAATACAAGCTGAGTTTCTTGTCAGTTCTTCTAATCCCGAAATCATTCCGAACTGACGGTAGATTTGACATATGATAAGAGTCTGTAATAGACCTACATGAATGAAGATATTTTGAATTGAATTAGATATGTATTCACAAAAATAAATGTATTTAAATATTTATATCAGTTGTTTAGTATCAATAAAATTAGATGTTGTTATGTGAATTGTTCTGAGATATTATTATTATTATATCAGTTGTCTAGTACCCATAACACAAGCTCTACTTACCGTGGGACAAGATGGCGCTGTGTGAATTGTTCTGGATTATTCTACACAACATACTTTCCCGTTTTTAATATTAGTACAGAATATAATAACATTTTTATCGACCGTACTGGAAAAAGGAATGTTAATCTGTGAAAATAACATCCATTTCGCAGATGTATTAAAAAAACTACATCCCCGAAAAGGATTACCGTCCACCAGTTTAATTCATTCCAAACGCTGAAAATCTCACGCTTTCATAGTGTGTATGTACGCTGAAATAAATTCTTTTTGTAATATATAATCTTTGTATAATAAAATAAAAATTTTCTGATACGTTGTTTGTCCATGAAGGTGCTTTAAACTACTAAACCGATTTTGAGGAAATTTTATATATACTCGATAGGTCTGAAAGTAGGTTGACATCTATTTTTTTTATACCCCTAAGTGAAAAGTGAGGGCAACACCAAATATATTAAAAAAATATGATTTGGCATTAAATGTGCATTAAATTATAAATTTTCACTCTTAACTACCAACTGCTATTGTTAATAACCATATTAGCATTGTAATAATATTTTACTCTCGGTGGACCATACCTAATAAGTAAAAATATTTACCAAGCAACGAAGTGGACATAGGTAGAATAGAATAAAAAATAATTTATTCAGATAAACTTAATTTAAGCACTTTTGAATAGTCATAACAATGTTTTTTTTAATCTGCCGTTCATTCGAAAAACTGTCTCATCAAAAGACGAACGAGCACGAAACTTGTGCTTTGCTCTTTTAAACAATTCTTGTAAGTTCACATTATACAATTCGAAACGTGTGAACAAACTACCAACCAGTAATTTATTAGGGTTAAATATAAATACACAATAATATTAAATCAGTCGTAGTGAGAGCAGACCAGTCCCTACAAGTAGCACTCTTTCACATGTATGACGGATGAGCCAGCCATCACTGCGCTCGACCATATTTTAGAGAGTCCAATGACCCGGCCCACCACGCTGCCACATGTCTGGACATTTTAGTGATCATCATTCCGGTAAGGTCAGGTTGGGTCAGGTCAGCTACTAAATTGAGGCAGTCCCCCAATCCAAAGGCCCCGGAGGTGTGCGCGTGTACCCACACGCCTACACAGTGGAGTAGGGTGAAATAGGTCGCCCTAACCACATAACGAGATGGGGCCTGCCCTACAACATCTAGGGCGGGCCGTCGCCGTCGGAGCTGGGGTGGAAATGCACATGCGAATCCCCTGGCTCCGGCATAGGCGCTCGTTGGTACACTGTGTGGTTTTTCGTGAGTACAAGTCTCACTCACCACCCCGCCCTCCCTCCGGCGGGGTGACGGTCTTTTGAAGATTTTCCACACGTAAAAAAAAAAAAGGTTAGCTACTAAATAAATATCATAAACAATAAACAATATCACTAAAAGATTCTCCCAATTGCATCAATAATATAGAAGAAGAACACATAAAAACGATACCATCTTTTTGACTACCAGCACAATCTTGGAAAAAATATTTGCAGAAACAAAATAAATAATGTAAAACACAATCCGAGATATCAGATATATGAAACAATGGAAGTCGCTTACGCGAACTAAATACGTAAATCTCTTCCTGAAACTAAAAGATAACAGACAGTTCGAAACTGCGGGGTCCGCGGCTGTATATTTGCATTGTAAATATTCGGGCGCAATGTCAACCGCGCGTGTAGCATTGGGTTAAGGCTATTGATTAAATTATTTCTTTTTGACAAAAATACTATAGCATATGTTGGTAGCCACTACATTCTTCCTAATTTAATTCTGTGTGTTTAGCATTGGGTAAGGCTGTTGATTAAATTATTTTTTTTTGACAAAAATACTATAGCATAATATGTTGGTAGCCAGTACATTCTTCCTAATTTAATTCTGTGTGTTTAGCATTGAGTTAAAGCTGTTGATTAAATTATTTCTTTTTGACAAAAATACTACAGCATATGTTGGTAGCCACTACATTCTTCCTAATTTAATTCTGTATGTTTATAAACGTGTACAAGCTCATCCAAAATTAATAAGATACGAGTTTCTTACTTATTCTTAGCTCGAACGTACTCTGAAATGGCGAAAGATTTAACTTATCATAAGTATGTAGGATGCTGTATATATAGGAAATAGAAATCTTTATTCAAATAAACTAAATTTCAGCACTGTTAAATCTACCGCTCATTCGAAAGCACTCTCATTACAAGAAGTAAGAGCAAAAATCTTGCGTATAGCTATTTTAAAGGATGATTTGACTTTACATATAACATAGTATAAAACAAAGTCGCTATCGCTGTCTGGCCGTGCCTATGTATATATAAAAGATTCTCCTAATAGCATCAACAATATAGAAGAAGACATAAAAACGATACCATCTTTTTGACTACCAGCACAATCTTGGAAAAAATATTTGCAAAAACGAAATAAATAATGTAAAACACAATCCGAGATATCAGATATATGAAACAATGGAAGTCGCTTACGCGAACTAAATACAAAAACAAACAACAAAAATTATTTCTTTTTGACAAAAATACTATAGCATATGTTGGTAGCCACTACATTCTTCCTAATTTAATTCTGTGTGTTTAGCATTGAGTTAAAGCTGTTGATTAAATTATTTCTTTTTGACAAAAATACTATAGCATATGTTGGTAGCCACTACATTCTTCCTAATTTAATTCTGTGTGTTTAGCATTGAGTTAAAGCTGTTAATTAAATTATTTCTTTTTGACAAAAATACTATAGCATATGTTGGTAGCCACTACATTCTTCCTAATTTAATTCTGTGTGTTTAGCATTGGGTTAAAGATGTTGATGAAATTATTTCTTTTTGACAAAAATACTATAGCATATGTTGGTAGCCACTACATTCTTCCTAATTTAATTCTGTGTGTTTAGCATTGGGTTAAAGATGTTGATGAAATTATTTCTTTTTGACAAAAATACTATAGCATATGTTGGTAGCCACTACATTCTTCCTAATTTAATTCTGTGTGTTTAGCATTGAGTTAAAGCTGTTGATAAAATTATTTCTTTTTGACAAAAATACTACAGCATATGTTGGTAGCCACTACATTCTTCCTAATTTAATTCTGTGTGTTTAGCATTGAGTTAAAGTTGTTGATTAAATTATTTCTTTTTGACAAAAATGCTATAGCATATGTTGGTAGCCACTACATTCTTCCTAATTTAATTCTGTGTGTTTAGCATTGAGTTAAAGTTGTTGATTAAATTATTTCTTTTTGACAAAAATGCTATAGCATATGTTGGTAGCCACTACATTCTTCCTAATTTAATTCTGCATCTTTATAAACGTGTACAAGCTCATCCAAAATTAATAAGATATGAGTTTCTTGCCTGTTCTTAGCTTGAACGTACTCTACAATGGCGAAAAAATAATTATACTAATAAGAAAACACCCAGACCGATAAAAACAATCATACTCATCATAAAGCGGTGTGCTATACCGCTGGACAACCGAGATCGTCATTCTTACAGTGACACTAGTGTTATTTATTATTTATTATATAACATCGATATTATGTACATTCTGTCAGTTCACTATCATCTGTAATATACATCTTCTTAACCGACAACATCGTATTACTATCCCGAAACATTCGCCTTTCGTCTCCCTCCGTTACAATGCTATAAAAGAAATTAATTAAAAAATCTGTTGCTGTATAATTTCTTTTAAATTCGATCACAATGCCTTCCGCATAGCTAACATTGC